CTTTTGCAGGTTATTTAAAGTTTAGATATTAAGAATATTTAAAAAGTAATAATCCTTATTATTCCGTCTACCCAATTTCACACACTAAGCTGACGTCAGCCCGTGATGTCGTTTTCAGGCATTTTGCAAAGTTACTGATTGCTGGGATCAGGGCTACAAGGGCTGATACCACCAAGCAGTCACCTAATATCTTTAAGACTTTTATCAGTAAACTGATAAAAGTCTTAAAGATAATTAACTCATAGCTAGAGTGAGATCAGGTGAATTCATATCATTACCAAGTGCACTTGAGCGTAGATGAAAATAAGTGACCCAACCTAAATTGAAACTCAGCTTCCGGATATCAAATCCCGAGATAATATCCCTTAAAACCTCCATACATGCAAACTTTTAGCACGTGGTATTCATAAACTGTCACCCGTCTAGGCATTAAATAGGCTCAGCATCTCTTAACTTCGGTAATCGTATTGAAACCTGTGTTTCAACGATATATTGCCGTAAGTCCCTAAGTCTGCAACCATTATTTAGCTATAAAGGACTTTAGTTTAATTTCAACTCTGAAGACTGGGGATAGTACTTATCCAACATTTTAAAATTTATACTATTCTACTGCAAACCATTTTAGCGATTTACTAATAGTAGCTTAGATCTGATACTAGGCCGGAATTATGGCGCACCCCGTTAGGATCGAAGTAACTACCCAATCGCAATTGATCTAGCGAGACAAGCTTGCTAACCATTGCACCACGTCAAAGTACTCATGCAAGTCTATATCATATCTAATCATGATATAAAAATGCTATATTCGTTCCAACATACGGATGTCGACTAGAGAGATGGTAGTCTAACCAAGATGTAAATAGAGAGGACATTTGGTAGACGAAAAGGAAGGCAAGTTTACTAGAATTCAGCTTGTCGGTCAGCTGTCTTATTCTTGTATACTTGCATGTCAACCTTTTATTGGCCAGTTGTAGCATTCTGGTACGCTTACATGTCAGCCTTGTATTGGCTGCTGTATCATTGTGGTAAGTTTGCATGCCAGCCTATTATTGGCCAGTTGTAGCATTCTGGTAGACGTGCATGTCAGTCTTGTATTGGCCAGCTGTATCAATCTGGTAGACGTGCATGTCAGCCATTTATTGGCCAGCTGTAGCGTTCTGGTAAACTTGGATGCCAGCCTTGTATTTGCCAGCTATAGCATTCTCGTACACTTATATGTCAGCCTTGTATTGGCCAGCTGTAGCATTCTGGTAGACGTGCATGTCAACCATTTGTTGGCCAGCTGTAGCATTCTGGTAAACTTGCATGCCAGCCTTTTATTGGCCACCTGTAGCATTCTCGTACACTTGTTTATTAGCCTTGTATTGTCCAGCTGTAGCATTCTGATAGACTTTCATGTCAGCTTTGTTTTTGCCAGCTGTATCATTCTCGTACACTTACATATCAGCCTTGTATTGGCCAGCTGTAGCATTCTGGTAGACTTTCATGTTAGATTGTATTGGCCAGCTGTAGCATTCCGGTAGACTTTCATGTTAGATTGTATTGGCCAGCTGTAGCATTCCGGTAGACTTTCATGTTAGGCTTGTATTGGCCAGCTGTAGACTTTCATGGTAGACTTTCATTCCGGTAGCCTTTCATGTATTGGCCAGCTGTAGCATTCCGGTAGACTTTCATGGTGGCATGTTTGCCTTTGTAGCATTCTGGCTTTCATGTTAGCTGTAGGCCATTCATTCTGGTAAACTTTCATGGTGGCCTTGTATTGGCCAGCTGTAGCATTCTGGTAGGCTTTCATGTTAGCCTTTCATGTTTCTGGTAGGCTTTCATGTTAGCCTTGTTGGCCAGCTGTAGCATTCTGGTAAACTTTCATGTTAGCCTTGTATTCTGGTAGACTTTCATGTTAGCCTTGTATTGGCATTAGCATTCTGGTATGTTAGCCTTTATTATCATGTTCTGGTAGACTTTCATGTTGGCCTTGTATTGGCCAGCTGTAGCATTCTGGTAGACTTTCATGTTAGCCTTGTATTGGCCAGCTGTAGCATTCCGGTAGACTTTCATGTTAGGCTTGTATTGGCCAGCTGTAGCATTCTAGGTAGACTTTAGCATTCCGGTTTTCATGTTAGCCTTGTATTGGCCAGCTGTAGCATTCCGGTAGACTTTCATGGTGGCCTTGTATTGGCCAGCTGTACTTTCATAGTTTCATGCCTTTATTGGCCAGCTAGCATTCTGGTAAGCTTTCATGTTAGCCTTGTATTGGCCAGCTGTAGCATTCTGGTAGGCTTTCATGTTAGCCTTGTTTCATGTTAGCCTTGGGCCAGCTGTAGCATTCTGGTAGACTTTCATGTTAGCCTTGTATTGTGGCCAGCTGTAGCATTCTGGTAGACTTTCATCTTAGCCTTGTATTGGCCAGCTATAGCATTCTGGACTTTCATGTTAGCATTGTTGTAGCATTCTGGTAGACTTTCATGTTAGCCTTGTATTGGCCAGCTGTAGCATTCTGGTAGACTTTCATGTTAGCCTTGTATTGGCCAGCTGTAGCATTCCGGTAGACTTTCATGTTAGCCTTGTATTGGCCAGCTGTAGCATTCTGGTAGACTTTCATGTTAGCCTTGTATTGGCCAGCTGATGCATTCTCGTCTAATTTCATGCCAGCCTTGTATTGGCCAGCTGTAGCATTCTCGTACACTTGTATGTCCGTCTTATTTTGACCAGGTGTAGCATTCTGGTATACTTACATGTCATCCTCGTATTGGCCCGCTGTAGCATTCTGGTACTCATACATGTGCTTTATATCTTGTTCTAGCCATGAACTTTCCAGACGTACCTTGTACATATCCATTGCCAGTTGAGTGATTTTGCGATTTGTCAAACTTTGTTTCATTATTAGATGTGAAATTTTGTATGGATCACTTAGTGTTATTTGGACATATTAATCAGTCGAATTGGTCGAGAATAGTAACCCCACTAAATTTTGTCCAGCCATCGGGTTCACGAGACGACAAATTGAAATCGAAATGAAATTGACAGGTTGTTAAATATAAAACGTCTCTAGAGAAATAAAGTCAGTCAATAAGTAGTTTGATAATTGTGCAGAAAATTGTATGTTCCCAAAGACAATGCAAAAAGACAGAAAATCAAGGGATAATTGAAAGCATTCGGAGAATAGAATTCGGAAAAACGAATCGAGTTATTGAGAAGTGTCTAGTAGTAATCTTGTGTACCAAATACGATTGCCGGTATAGAAGTTTCCCGTTCATTTCTATCCCATAGGCACGGTGCTTATTTTGTAGGTGATACTGATTATTTTTAAAGTAATCTTCTCTGGAATAATGTCTAGTTTGTTTCATGTTTATAAAACCTATCTAGAAATCCCCATTGGAACGTTAATGTGAACAGAATCGTTTATTTTATATATTGAAAATCTCCATAACTGTTTTAGAGAGAACTCATATTTGATCCAGAAATATACTAAGGAATTTAACTCTAATCGGAAATCATCACGGAATTTCAGAAATTGAAAAAAGAATATTATGTTGCTAAATTATATGAATTATGAATATATTTTCTGGATTTAGTCTAATATTGCACAGCCAGTTTTTAATAAAATAAGTTTAATAATATCTGCAAGGAAAATTTTCTGTTTAAATGTTTGCTCTATAGATTAGCTCGGCTGCATATGATTTTAAAATATAACGTGTCCCTTCCGGGGATTTGCGATTATGGCTCTCCACAATTTCCTGTCTTTTGCAGCTCTTAGTAAATTCATTTTTTTTTATCTCTCCTAAATTCTTTTCTGTCATCTCTTTGCACAAACTTGTTAGGTAGGTTATGGAGTGCTTTGCTTTGTCACATTTGTCTCCAATCTATCCCGTAAGTATCATATTTTCCGAGACGTCTTTCCTTATTCTTTTGCCTAGATGCATTAGCTGTCTATTTCTGAGGTTAGTTATATGTATGCATCTTGTTTTCATTTTCTCTAAACCTTCGTTGATGCTCACTGATGTGGACCCAAAGTTGGGATAACGGAAGGAAAACACGGAACACGGATTAGAGGTAAGAAAGATATATTAAACAAAAAGGTTACAAAGATAGTGCAAGTGTAAGCGGCGCTTACTATGCGCTAGTGTCCAATATTGGTAGTCGTACGCGCTGATACTACGGTATTAGAATACTCTCTCTTCTCCTTTTCTTCTTCTCTCTCGAGTGTTATGTCGCATACTTTATATAGTCCTGGGAGGGTCCATGTTGTAGGCATGTTACGGTCTCACAATACTTACTTGTTCAGTTAATGGTATTCCAAGCTTAATTCTGTATATTTACATTTCTGTTGCTCCGAGTATCTACTACCTTTTTAAGGAGATTGAGCCGCTTTCACGGTCAGACTGTAATGCTTCAGTAATATTTTCTTTGCTTCTAAAGGAATTTCACTGTTTCTTAATACTGGTTATTATTTGCCATTTTTTAAAGAATACATCAGTTCCACATATATTTGAACCCATTCGTAATCTTATGTTATTTGTAAAATTATTGAGTATCATTTCTTAATTGAGTTACTATAGATATGGAAAAAAGTGTTGTCTTTTTGTCTTTAACCGTAGGGCATGCAAACTAGACTCACGCAATAGACGGAGACGCCTTGTGGTTTTAACGCATAATATAAGTTATAGAATTATTCATTATCAAAGAAAGCATACCAGAAATTGCTATGTATGTATTATGAAATAAACTTTAGTGTACTCATGGCTGAATATTGAAAAGCATGATATAAGCCTTAATGTGAACATTTTGCGTTGTATGTTTCGACTTCTGCATTAATAAAAAGTTATTAGAATTTTTAGGAAAATATATAGGCATAGACGGCCAGAGAATAGATTGGTCGAAATGCTGGCGTCAAAATAAAATCAGAAAGTGAGTAAATTTGTTCACATAATCGCAACAGCTTTAGGTATTTCCATGGAAATCTTAAGTTTTAAAAATGCATATTTAGAATGTCTCTGTTTATATCAACCAGGGATGGTAGAAAACGTGGTAGATACTGGAAGATGAGATAAATGCTGGAAAACGAGGTTGATACTTGTAGAATAGGTAGATACCAGAAGACGAGTTAGATACTGGAAAACGAGGTAGATACAGAAAGACGAGTTAGATACTGGAAAACGAGTTTCATACTGAAAAACGAGGTAGATACCTGAAGAGGAGGCAGATACTGGAAAACGAGGTAGATAAAGGAATCGCGGTAGATACTGTAAAACCAGTTGGATACTTGAAGACGAGGTAGATACCTGAAGACGAGGCAGATACTGGAAAACGAGGTAGATACAGGAATCGAGGTAGAAACTGGAAAACCAGTTGGATACTGAAAGACGAGGTAGATACCTGAAGACGAGGCAGATACTGGAAAAACGAGGTAGATACAGGAATCGAGGTATGGAAAACCAGTTGGATACTGAAAGACGAGGGATACCTGAAGACGAGGCAGATACTGAAACGAGGTACTGGAAAACCAGTTGGATAAAAGACGAAGTAGATACCTGAAGACAGGGCAGATACTGGAAAAACGAGGTAGATACAGGAATCGAGGTAGAAACTGGAAAACCAGTTGGATACTGAAAGACGAGGTAGATACCTGAAGACGAGGCAGATACTGGAAAACGAGGTAGATACAGGAATCGAGGTAGAAACTGGAAAACCAGTTGGATACTGAAAGACGAGGTAGATACCTGAAGACGAGGCAGATACTGGAAAACGAGGTAGATACAGGGATCGAGGTAAAACTGGATACTGAAAGACCAGTTGGATACTGGAAAAATCACAGGAATCGAGGTAGATACTGGAAAACCAGTTGGATACTGAAAGACGAGGTAGATACCTGAAGATACTGGAAAACGAGGTAGATACAGGAATCGAGGTAGAAACTGGAAACCCAGTTGGATACTGAAAGACGAGGTAGATACCTGAAGACGATACTGGAAAACGTGGTAGATACAGGAATCGAGGTAGATACTGGAAAACCAGTTGGATACTGAAAGACGAGGTAGATACCTGAAGACGAGGCAGATACTGATAACGAGGAATACAGGAATCGAGGTAGAATCTGAAACCCAGGATATCGAGGTAGATACCTAAACTGGAAAACGAGGTAGATACAGGAATCGAGGTAGAAACTGGAAACCCAGTTGGATACTTGAAGACGACCTAGATACCAGAATAGTTAAATACTCGAAAACGAGGTAGATCTAGAATTTTGGTCAGAATTGGTTCTGGTAATCTATAACCTAACTTCTGTGGCTGATCAAAATTAATGACCAGATTAATACATCCAAACATATAATCCGATTTGTCTATAGAACCAAGTCGAGATAACTCTCGGATTCGGAAATTCATGCACAATAATCATTCCTCTCCATATCTAACATACTTTCCCATGATGTATGTGTATGTTATACGCTTAAAAGTATGGATGTCATGATAGATATATATTTTGGGCCTCGTATAATTGTATTCCATCCTCACTTTTTTGATGCGCTGCTTTACTGCAAATAAACAATATATCGTCATAAAAGTTTAAAAAAAGGAACCTACCAATTAATTGACATAACACACACACAGGATGCAAATGTTTCCAAAAGCGAATTTCAAAAACTGTCAAATTTTAAGCGGATGCAAATGAAAATAACAAACTTGTGGACACTTTAATCTACGATTATTTCTTTTATGATAGGGTCATTGTGTAGAAAGAGAAACTGTACTGAAATCCACGAAACTAAAATTACAATTTGCATTGCTCTCCATCTAAAGAAAACGTCACAATTGCATATGTAGCATATATAACTCTTCTAATGTCCCCTTGTTACTCATAAACCCGAAGATGACTTGGTAGTTAAACACTTAAATTTACTCTTCGGGAAGATGGTGCCACACATGATATTAACAACAATAATTACCTGATATTTAGAATGAAGTATTTTTTCTAAAGGTATTATTTTAATATTATAGGCAGTGTGGAGTAATGGATAATATCTCGGATTGAGAAATCGGAGAATGTCAATCGAATACATTACATTCATTTACGTGCTAATACCCTTGGGAAAGGTATTAATCTGGTTCTAAGCTATGGGTAAATAGCAGGATAGACTGGGTTCTATAGCTTGTCATGGCAACTGGTCTACCTCAGAAAGAAATGGCAACCTACAGCGGAAAAAAAATTCTGCCACGTCAGTCATGTATCAAAGATACATGATCGCCTAAGTGTGTATAACTCATCACTGACTGATATACAATTAAAAAAAGTCAACCTATCTTTCAATGGGAATGACTTGGAATATTTTTGTCCGATAACAAAGAAAACCTTTGTAATAATTCCTTTTAGAAAGTCTTGGGATCTCTTATAGCGACTTTAATCCAAATCAGGAATACAGTATAAAACAATTCTTCAGAATAAATCTTAACAGAAAAAAAGTAAAGCTCTATTAAAGAAAAACTAGACAAAACTTTCCGCGTCATGTCAAGTAATATACGTAGATCTGGGATATGGTGAACAAATTGTTCGTCAATTTTCGTAAAATGTCTGAGATTAAAACTAGCAGCGAAGTCGACTAAAACACTCGATTGATTAGAATTTGGAATATAAATAAGTCGAGAATACGAGAGAATATTCAAGAATATTGGATATTTTCAAAAAAGAGAAAATGCGAACACTACGACAGATAATAGTATTCCTTGTGATAGGAATGGAAAGTGTGAAGAGAATGTGGGAGGGACTCTTTTCCATTTCAATGACCAT